GAGGAGGTGCCCAGGTGAGGGGCAGGTGTGACCAGGGGGTTCCCATGGTACTCACAGGCCGTTGGCGAAGTCGTGCATCACGGTGGGCAGGCTGGTGAAGGTGAGCACTGGGATCAGTGCAAAGGGGAGCTGGAACAGGCAGGAAAACAGGGAAGAATGAAGAGTGGGAAGTGGCCTGATTATCATGGAGTCCTGGAGCAGTTTGGGTGGGAAGGGACCTTAATGCTCATCCCCACCCCCTGCCATGGGTAGGGAGGGACACCTTCCACTGACCAGGTTGTTCCAAGCCCCATCTGAGCTGGTCTCAAGCACCTGGGGGCTGGGAGGGGTGTGATCCCACCTGGCTGGGAACACCTGGGGCTGGGAGGGGCCTGACCCCACCCGGCTGCCCCCTGCTCACCTGGAGGCTCATGAGGACGTTGAGGAAGTCGTTCATGCCCGTCAGGTGCTCAACGTCCTGGAAGATGGCGACGAAGAGGGTGGGGGTGACGGCGATGGAGCGCGTGAGCAGCACCCGGGCAAAGCGGGACCAGCGCAGGTTCAGGAACCCCTGAGGGGGCACAGGGTGGGCAAGGGGTGAGAAAGGGCTCAGCAGTGAGGAGAGTGGAGCACAGGAGCAGCATGGGGCCAGGAACCCCTGGGGGGGGCACAGGGGTGAGGGGGTGAGATGGCAACGAGTGAGGAGTATAGGGTGAGGAGTAAGTGAGGAGTACAGAGGAGTAATGAGTAAGGAGTACAGAATACAGAGTAAGGAGTATGGAGAACGTAGTGAAGAGTAAAGAGTAAGCAGTAAGGAGTACAGAGTGAGGAGTAAGGAGTACTGAACACAGAGTAAGGAGTACTGAATACAGAGTAAGGAGTACAGAGGAGATGAGTTCGGAATACGAAGCAAGGAGTACAGAGTAAGGAGCACAGAACCCAGAGCAAGGAGGCCGAGGTAAGGAGGGAGCAGGGGGTGAGGAGCAGGGGGACGATACCTCCATGACGAACTGGCCCGAGTAGGTGCCTGTCATGGTGGAGCTCTGCCCAGCCGCCAGGATCCCGATGGCCCAGATGTAGAGAGCGGCAGGGCCGAAGTAACACCCCAAAACAACGCCCTGGAACAGGACGGGGGGCAGCTCCGTCAGCTGTGTGAGGAGTGGGCTCAAGGACCCCCAGGATCTCTTCCCCCCGACTCTGTGTTCAGGGATCCCTTTGCTGGTCCCAGTCCCCAACGCTCCCAGTTTACCCAGAAGCAGCAGCTGCCACCAGACAGGGCCACCAGCTGCCCCAGATGTGGCTGTGCCAACCCAGGGACACCAGATGGGGTCATGAGGCTGTCCCCCCACCAGGAACACCCCCCCCCCGCCAGGTCACCAGGCTGTCCCAGATGTGTCCTGTGACCCCAGACAAGGCCACCAGGATGTCCCCAAGCCACTCCCCCAGGGACACTCACCCCCTTGTATATGTCCACCTCCAGTGTCTCGTTGTTGTTGGGGAAGAGCGAGGAGTGGGGGCTGCTGGAGTTGACACAGACCTGGTTCTGCAAGGGCACAGAAGGGCAGGAATCAGGGAATGGGCTGGAGTGGAAAAGCTTTTGGGATCATTAGGTCCAGTGGTGACCCCAGCACTGCCAAGGCCACCACTGACCTGGCCTCCAAGTGCCACATCCACACAGTTGTTAAATCCCCTCAGGGATGGGGACTCCACCCCTGCCCTGAGCAGCCTGTTCCATGAAGGAATTTTCCCTAAAATCCAACCTAAACATCCCCCAGCAGCCTTTTCTTCTCGTCCTGTCACCTGGGAGCAGAGTCCAACCCCCACCTGGCTGCCCCTCCTGTCAGGGAGTTGCAGAGCCAGAAGGTCCCCCCTGAGCCTCCTTTTCTCCAGGCTGAGCCCCCCCAGCTCCCTCAGACACTCCTGCTGCTCCAGCCCCTTCTCCAGCTCTGTTCCTGGCCCTGGACACGCTCCAGCCCCTTGAGGTCTTTGACCCCAGGACTCAGGGCTGGGCCTCAGCAGTGCCTAGCACAGGGGAAGGGGCACTGCCTCGGTCCCTCAGTCCCAGTCTGTGCCAGCACAGGGGAAGGGGCACTGCCTTGGTCCCTCAGTCCCAGTCTGTCCCAGTCCCCCTCACCACGTCCGCGTTGGTCTTGTTGAAAAAGGCCTCAGCGAAGACGGCGACCACAAAGATGTTGATGATGAAGGACACGAAGAGCGCGATGCACGACTCGATGAAGAAATACTTGTTGGCCTCTCGCACCTGCCGCTTGTTCGAGCGATCCACCTGCCTGGACTGGGGGGGACAGGGGCAGGGGCAGGATGGGGGGTGGGAATTCACCGGTTATCCTTGGAATTATGGCTGATTGAAGCGATGGTGGGACACAGAACATGCCCTCAGGTTCCACACCCCACAATGGCCACAAGCTCCTCTGAGGGGGTTTTCCGTGTCCCCCTCCCACGGTGGGACCCTCAGGACCCTCCCCACCCCCAGGTGCTCACCTTGACCAGGGCAGAGTGCAGGTACATGTTGTGGGGCATGATGACAGCACCCACGATGCCCACGGCCTGCTCCAGCTGGGGCGTCCCACAGTCCTTGCAGTAGGGGATGAACAGCCCCTGCAGCACCTTCTCCTGGTTGGGCTTCACCGTGATGTACTAGGGACAGGAAAACGGGGGATTTGGGGCTGTGACACGTTGGCTGATCCACAGCTGATATGTGGCTGTTTTGGTAAAAAATGAAACCACGAGCCGACTCAAATCTGCCCAAAACGTGGCTTTTAAGTGTCCACCACTGTGTTTGATGCTGATTTGGGATTGTAGGATTGAATCATGGACTTGTTAGGGTTGAAAGAGCCTCTGGGATCGCTGGGTCCAGCACTGGCACCAGCACTGCCAAGGCCAACACTGACCAT